ATTTTATTAATTTGAGTCTTTTTTTCTTTTTAATAAGTCTGGCTAGTGGTTTATCTATCTTATTAATTCTTTCAAAGAAACAACTCCTGGTTTAGTTGATCTGTTCTACAGTTCTTCTGGTCCCTATTTCATTGAGTTCTGCTTGAATCTTTATTATTCCCTTCTTCTGCTTGGTGTAGGTTTTACTTGCTGTTCTTTCTCCAGTTCCTTTAGGTGCAAGGTTAGCTTGTGTATTTGATTTTTTTTTCCAGTTTTTTGAGGGTTGCTTGTATTGCGATGTATTCCCCTCTCAGGACTGCTTTTGCTGTATCCCAAAGATTTTGAATGGTCGTATCATCATTTTCATTACTTTCCATGAATCTTTTTAGTTCTTCTCTAATTTCTTCGTTGACCCTTTCCTCTTTTAGTAGGATGCTCTTTAACCTCCATATGTTTGACTTTCTTCCAAATTTCTTCTTCTGCTTGAGTCCTGGTTTCAAAGCATTGTGGTCTGAAAATAAGCAGCGGACATCCCAATCTTTTTTGGTATCGGTTGAGATCTGATTTGTGAGCCAGTATGTGGTCTATTCTGTAGAAAGTTCCATATGCCCTTGAGAAGAATGTGTATTCAGTTGCATTCGGATGGAAAGTTCTGTATATATCTGAAATCCATCCAGTATATCATATAAGGCCCTTGTTTCTTTGATGATGTTCTGCTTAGAAAATCTGTCATTTGCAGAAAGTGCTGTGTTGAAGTCTCCTACAATTGGTGTATTAGTATCTAAGTATCTCTTTACTTTGGTTATTAATTGATATACTTGGCAGCTCCCACATTAGGGGCATAAATATTCTTGATTGTTAGGTCTTCTTGTTGGATAGACCCTTTAAGTATGATATAGTGTCTCTCTTCATCTCTTACTACAGATTTTGGGATAAACTTTAATTTATCTGATATGAGGATTGCTACCCCTACTTTCTTTTGAGGATCATTTGAATGATAAGTAGTTCTCCACTGTTTCATTTTCAGGTGGGAGGTGTCCTTAGGTCTAAAATGATTCTCTTGTAGACAGCAAATAGATGGGTCTTGATTTTTCATCCAGTTCAATATCATGCTCCTTTTGATGCGATCATTTAGCCCATTCATGCTCAGAGAATAATTGAAAGATATGAATTGAAAGATATGAATTTAGTGTCATCGTAATACCTATTCAGTCCTGTGTTTGTGGATTACTACTTTGGACTTCTTCTTTCTTTTACAGGGTCCCCCTTAATATTTCTTGCAGAGTTGCTTTGGTGGTCACATATTCTTTCAGTTTCTGCCTATCTTAGAAGCTCTTTCTCTCTCCTTCTATTCTGAATGGCAGCTTTTCTGGATAAAGTATTCTTGGCTACATGTTCTTCTCTTTCAGTACCCTGAATATATGCTGCCAGCCCTTTCTGGCCTGCCAGGTCTCTGTGGATGGGTCTGCTGTTAATCTGCTGTTATGTTTCTTCCCATATGAGTTAAGAATCTCTAGTCTCTTGTTGCTTTCATGATTTTCTCTTTATCTTTGGAATTTGCAAGTTTCACTAATAAATGTTGAGGTGTTGAATGGTTTTTATTGATTTTTGGGAGGGACCTCTCTATCTCTTGGATTTGAATGCCTGGTTCCCACCCCAAATCAGGGAAGTTCTCAGCTATGATTTGTTCAATTATACTTTGTGGCACTCTTCCTCTTGGCCTCCTCTGGAACCACAGTTATATTCCCATGCTATCATTTATTTCCCTAAGCCTTTCCTCATTGTCTCTTAATTGGTTTTCCCTTTTTTCCTCAGCTTCCTTCCTTACCATCAACTTGTCTTCTATGTCACTCACTCTTCCTTACACCTCATTAACCCTAGCAGTTAGGACATCAAGTTTGGATTGCATCTCATTTAACTTATTTTTAATTTCAGCCTTATTAGATCTCAACTCTGCAGAAATGAAATCTCTAGAGTCTTTTATGTTTTTTTTCCCCCAGAGCCATGAGTAGCTTCATAATTGTGCTTCTGAATTGGCTTTCTGACATCGAATTGAAATCCATATTCTGTAACTCTGTGGCAGAGAGTACTGTTTCTGGTTCTTTCTTTTGTGGTGAATTCTTTCTTCTAGTCATTTTGTTCAGTGCAGAGTGGCTGTATGAGTGGACTGAGTCAAAAATATCAGCCACGACCTATGTAAATTACACCCTAGATGATTCCAAAGAGGTCAGAGACCAGAAAATGAAAAAGAAGATCAGAACAAAATAAAACAAAAGGACCACTATGTGAAAAACAAATTTTAAAACAAAGTAGAAAAAAATGAAAGGCCAAAAACCCCAAAGAAGAAGAAAAAGTAAACAAAAGTAAAGCAGAAAAAGAGAAAAAAGAAAAAAAGGGGAGTTTGAGGAATAGTGATGGTGAAGAAGTGGTAGTAGAGAGAGAATGTATTCTACCTGAGGAGTCCTAGAGGGTGATTCTCTTGGTTCTGAGTGTATTTTGTTCTGTATGTTAGAACATGCTCAACCGCAAATCTATATAAACAGCAATACTTATAGAATTGTAGCCCCAACAATGACCACCAAAACATAAACAAGATAAAAGAGGAGTGCAGAATGGGAGTGAGGAGAGAATGTAATCTCACAGAATGAACCAGCACAGTATTCCACTTGGTTCTCAGTCTACGCTGGTCATGTTTTAGAAGTTATGACCTTCCACATTGTAGAACAAAACGAGGCAGAGAAAACACAAAACACAAAGCATTAGTCCATTTCTCTTATATCTCCCAAAATTAAATTGAATACGTTGAAGGAAATCCAGAAGTGAAAAATGTATCTAAGACATGTAATTGTAGAAATATGAAAGTGAAAAAGGAAAACAACTTAAAACTGAACAGCTGGTAAAATATTGTAGTTAAGGTGGGAAAAGAGAAAAATATTGGAAATTTTTAGTCTGATACAAAAACAGGTTGTAATGGAAAAAGGAAAAAAAAAGGTTAAAAAATAAAGGGGGGGGGCTTTAGTTCTATATACTATTTTCCCTTGGTTCTGGAGGTTTCCATTACTGCTTGGTCAAGAACTTGCTCCTGCCCTGTACTTCCAGCTGGTCTTCAGGGGGAGCAGTCTGCTGTGCTGATTCTCAGGTGTCTGTGCCTGGGCGGAGATGTCCCGCCCCTTGCCAGGTGCCCGGCTCAGTAAGAGCTGTTTATCCTGTGAGGCCTTTGTTCCCAGGCGGCCGCACCTCTCCCAGGCACTTGGTGAAACCAGGAGGAAACAGAATGATGGCGGTGGCCAGCTCTCCAGCTCTGGAGTCAGCTCCCCGAGAGTAACTAATGCAGTCTTCCAGTCCACACTGGCCTAGATGCTCTTGGGGCAGGCGCGGGTGCACTGACTTGCACAACTTGGAGTCACCTAGTGGCAGCTCTCACTGTCCTGTGCCCTCCCCTGTTCCGCCTGTCCCGGGGGAACGCAGGATCCCCGGCTTGGATGCCCTGGGATCCGGGGCCCTGTGCTGCTGGGCACCAGCTCCTGGGGGCCGCCTCTCCCAAAGGGAATGGGGCACAGCCACCTCCGTCTAGAGCAGGCCCACCTGACCAACCGGCTGCTCCCAAAGGCCCTGGGGGCTGTGGTGCTCCAGCCCTTTATGGATATCGGACCCGAGGTTTGCGGTGAGCTTTCACCCGGGAGCCCCTCCTCTAATAGTGACTCGGGGAATCTTGAGGCTTCACTGCCCCTCCTGGGATTTTGCCCGATTTCCCTACTAAGCACTTTTCCATCAGGGAAAATTCTGGCGTAGGTTTTTAAAGTTCCCACTTCTCCAGAGCTGGGCTTTCCTGTCCCTGAGGCTCCCGCTGCTCCCCTTTAGCCCTGCTACTCGCGGTGCCCGCCCCCCCACTTGATTCTTTTCCATTTATTTATTTATTTATTTTTTCTCGCCTTCGTACCTTGTTAGAAGTGAAAACCCTTCTGTAGGTAGCATTCCAGCTGTTCTCTCTTTGAATCTCAGGTCAAATTCGTAGGTGTTCAGGATGTTTTGAAAGTTATCTAGGGTAGTTGGTGGGACCAGGTGAGTCGAGGAGCCCTACTCTTCTGCCATCTTGCCCTTCCTCTGGAGTTTCTCATTCTCAAATTTGATTTTATAATTTCACAACATACTATAATCCTTAAGCAATATACAATTTTACTTGCATGTTTTATATTTTATATAAATGCTATTACACTCTATACGACATTCTGGAACTTTCATTTTTTATGCTTAATACAGCTTGTGGGATTTCTTCATGTTGCTATATGTAGCTCCACTTTATTAACTTTCCACAGCTCTATAGCTGTCTATTATAAGAATATGCTACTGCTTAGAGATTCTTCTGAGGATGATATTAAAGCTAACCTGCTATTTGGGTAAGACAACTTTACAAGTATTTCTCTCTACCCTTGGGCACACATGAGAGGAACCCTCATGTTCTGCCATAGTCCACATAACAGCAGAGTTAGTATCATTTGGGAGCTACTGTAGCACAAAATAAGCTTTTAATCTCTGATGAAGTTTTGCTCTTTCCATTTATACCTGATCTAGCTTTGTTCTTCTGAGGTGTGTGTGTGTGTGTGTGGGTGTGTGATAAATGACAGGAATCTTGTATTTTTTCTCCCATTGGGATAAATTATCCAGCACTCCCTGGTCAGCACAGCCATTTTTGCCGTATAATAAACCCCTCCATCTATGTATGGTTCTTTTTATGAAGCATATCGCCATTGAGGTTTGGAAATGCTTTATAGGATTGTAATTGAGTTTTGAACATCAATCTTATTCCAACAAGCTTATCACACTCATACTAATGCTCAAAGTATGGATATTCTCTTACGTGTAACTCTTTCAACACCAATCAGCTCAAGTAGCTTAGTTTTTACCTTCATTAAACTTACATATGCACATGGTTTAAGAGGCAAATAGTTCTATACGTTCTACATATGAAGATTAGAGTCTCCCTACCTCCCACTATTCTCTATCTCCCAGAGGCAACCATTTTATAGTCTTTTAATTGATTATTTTTGCATGTCATCCTTGTGCAGGGGCCATGCTAGCCCTCTCTGTACCATTCCAATTTTAGTATATGTGCTGCCAAAGCGAGCACTTTATTGGTTATTTTTAACTACTTCTTCTAGAGATGGTAGCCAGAACTCAGATAGCATGCTTATATTGCCACTTCTTGACTTCTCACCCGTCGGAAATATTCACTGACTTCCCACTATGGAAGATTGGGATACAATGCTCTGTCACTCCTGACCCCACCCATGTATGCACATCTTTACCCATCAACATAATATTTTAATGTTGGATAACATTATAGCCTCATTATAATGATATTGGATTTTATAGCTCAATCGTGTAACATCCCTAGCTTTTGTGCGTGTCCACCTGCTTATGTGTATTTTGTGTAACCACCACCATATTCAGGGTACAAACAGTTCTGTGGCCACAGAGGTTACCCTTGTGCTACTCTTTCTTAGGGACAGTCAGCTCCATCACACCAACCTCTGGCACATGCCATTCTGTTCTCTATAATGTTAAGAATGTTGTGTCAGTGGAGTCACACAGTATGTGACATTATGAGATTGATTTTGTTCACACAATGTAATGCCTTTGGAAACTTACAAGCTGTGCACATGAAAATAAATTATTCCTTTTTATTGCTGAGTAGTATTTCCTCGTAGAAATGTAGCACTCGGTTCCACCATTCACTTATCACTGGATATTTTACTTGTTACCAGCTTTTTACCATTACAAAGAAGGCTTCTCTAAACATTCACACACAGGTTTTTGTGAAGCTGTAGTCTTCATATCTCTCAGATAAATGCCTGGGAATGTGACTTTGAGGACAGCAAAACCCACTTCCTCTCCTGAAAGAAAAGAAATGATGCAAACACATGCAACTTCTTCTTTTTTATAGACTTTTTATAGATTGTTTTATAGATTGTTTTTTCTAGACAAAAAGTTATCTCTACACCCACTTGGGGCCCAAAAACACAATCCTGAATCAAGAGTTACTAACTCCACCAATAAGCCAGTGAGGTGCCCTAAGCACAACCCTTTCTGAGGTCCACAGTGCACTGTGCATTGAGGTGAAGTTTTACCAGTTCCATCAATAAAGGGATACAATAGGGAGTCAGTTGTGGAGCAGACCTCATTTGATCCCCAAGTTTTTCAGGTCCTGTCAAACCTATTCCTTCCTCCAGTACAGTAGCTCTTGGTGGAGGAAGGTACAGAATGAGGGCACAAGCTAGCCACCCCCAAGTGTCATAGGCTCAGGAGTTTAGGACAGAGCCCCCAAACACAGATTCTTGGCTTGGAGATTCTAAGTGAAGAATCACCTGGAAGACCTCCAGATGGGGGGAGGGGCCCAGTGCAAATCGCAGAGGCCCCAGGTTGTCAGGAAGCATTGTCTCTGCTAGAACTGAACAGCCACTCCTTCGGAAACATAAGAAAAGGCCTCTTCCTACATTTCCTCCTCACCACGTAAGGTCTTCTGTACATGACTTCTGTTTCACAATGCAGAAGCAGATTGCTGCCTCACAGCTATGTCACTGCATCATAGATGCTTCCTTATATCACATGAGGGGTGGGTATTTCTTTTCTACAGAACAGAAGCTCATTTTCCCCAGCACACACATTTGCACAGAGCAGGGTCCTCTGGCCTCCACAATGTCAGCTTCTGCCTCTGAACGCAGCCCCCCTCCCTACCTGCTGCTGGCTCTGCTGTTGGGACTCACAGGTGAGCATTGCCTTGGGGGAGACTCCCTTTTCCCTGACTCCTCAACCTCTCCCTGCCCGTGGACATTGAAGGCCTCCAGGTAAGCACAGATGTGCTACCTAGGCTTGCCAAAGAAGGCCAAGGACTGAGTATCATCTGAGAGCATGACATCAGGGATCTGAGCATTTCCTCTATGAATCTATCACCTGCAGCTGGTTACCAGAGGTGTCCAAACAGTTGATGCTTCAATGGGTAACAATGACAATGCTGCGTGTGTTCGTTGATCTAATCCTCACAACGCCCTGCCTGGTAGCTCAGACTGTCCTGATCACAGATGAGGAACCTGAGGCAGGCAGAGCAGCAGGCCCAATATCACTTACTAAGTCAGAGTGGCCCAGCTGGGATTCATGTCCAGGCCACCCAGCTCCACAGATCATTCTGTTAACCATGTTATGCTTCTTCATTCTCAGTGGAGGCTAATTGCAGAAACATCAGAAAACACAGAGAGGCAAACAGAAGAAGAGCCATCACTAATCACACTCAGGGGTCTCTAGAGTTCCAGTTCTGTTCTGTGAACTCAGAAACTTTTATGAATGATGTGCTGGATGTTTCCTATGTGTCAAATTTTTTACTGAATTTTAACATGTTTTATAATTTCATTTATTCCTCAAAATGAGCTCTATACTAGCATGCTAGGCCACACATTATGTATATGTGGGAATGCACTTGTGTGTGTGTGTGGGAATGCACTGTGTGTGTGTGTTCACGTGTGTACATGTATAGGTGGGTGTGAAAAAAGCTGCATACACAAACTTGCTCATGCTCGTGGAATTTTTTCTTTCCTTTTTAAATTTAAAATAAAAAATTAACATATAGTGTATTGTTAGTTTCAGAGGTAGAGGTTAATGATTTATCAGTTGCATATAACACCCCGTGCTCATCACATCACGTGCCCTCCTGAATGCCTATGACCCCATCCTCCCCACCCCTCTCCAGCAACCCTCAGTTTGCTTCCTAGGGTTAAGGGTCTCTTGTGGTTTCTCTCTCTCCCTCTGATTTTGTCTTATTTTATTTTTTCCTCCCTTCCCTATGATCCTTTGTTGTTTCTTAAATTCCACATATGAGTTAGGTCATATGATAATTGCCTTTCTCTGATTGACTAATTTCACTTAATATAATAATACCCTTTGTTCAACCCACATCATTGCAAATGGCAAGATTTCAGTTCTTTGATGGCTGAGTAATATTCCACTGTATATATACCCCATACCTTCCTTATCCATTCATCCGTCCATGGACATCTGGGCTCTTTCCATAGTTTGACTATTGTGGACATTGTGTTATAAACATTGGGGTACAGGTGCCCCTTCAAATCACTATGTCTGTATCCTTTGGATAAATACCTAATAGTGTAACTGCTGGGTTGTAGGGTTGCTCTATTTTCAACTTCTTGAAGAACCTCCATACTGTTTTCCAGAATGACTGCACCTGCTTGCATTCCCACCAACAGTATAAGAGGCTTCTCCTTTCTCTGCATCCCTGCCGACACCTTTCATTTCCTGACTTGTTAATTTTAGCCTTTCTGACTGCCATGAGGTGGTATGTCATTGTGGTTTTGATTTGCACTTCCTTGATGTGGAGTACTGTTGAGCATTTTTTCATGTCTGTTGGCCATTTGTATGCCTTCTTTGGAGAAATGTCTGTTCATGTCTTCTACCCATTTCTTGACTGGATTATTTGGTTTTTTTGGCTGTTGAGTTTGATAAGTTCTTTATAGATTTTGGATACTAGACCTTTATCTGATAAGGCATTTATAAATATCTTCTCCAGTTCTGTAAGCTGTCTTTGGGTTTTATTAACTGTTTCATTTGCTGTGCATAAGTTTTTTATCTTGATCAAGTCCCAGTAGTTCATTTTTGCTTTTGTTTCCCTTGTCTTTGTAGATGTGTCTAGCAAGAAGTTGCTGCAACCAAGGTCAAAGAGATTGCTGCCTGTATTCTCCTCTAGGATTTGGATGGATTCCTGCCCACATTAGGTCTTTCATCCATTTTGAGTTTTTTTATTCTGTATGTGTAAGAAAATGGTCCAGTTTCATTCTTCAGTATGTGGCTATCCAATTTCCAACACAATTTGCTGAAAATAATTTTTTCCATTGGATATTCTTTTCTTTCAATAGTTAAAAGATTAAAATATCAAAGATTAGTTGACCATAGAGTTGAGGGTCCATTTATGGGATCTCTCTTCAGTTCTATTGATGTATGTGTCTATTTTTCTGTCTTACTGATCACAACTTTGTAATACAGCTTGAAGTTCAAAACTGTGATACCACCAGCTTTGGTTTTTCTTTTTTCAACATTCCTTTGGTTTTTCAGGGTCTTTTCTGATTCCATACAAATTTTAGCATTATTTTTTCCAGCTCTCTGAAAATTCTGATGATGTATTGTTAAGGATAGCATTGAATATATAGATTGTTTGGGGTAGCAGATATTTTAACAATATTGGTTCTTCCCGTCCATGAGCACAGGAAGTTTTTCCAATTTTTTATGTCTTCCTCAATTTCTTTTATAAGTGTTCTATAGTTTTCAGAGTACAGATCCTTTACCTTTTGGTTAGGTTTATTCCTAGGTATCTATAGCTTTTCTGATTTCTTGTTGTATTGTATTGTTTTGTTTTCGATAAAAGCCAGCCATTCTAAGGAATGAAGAGATATCTCACTGTGGTTTTGATTTTCATTTTTCCAATGACTGGTGATCTTCAACATCTTGTCATGTGCTTTCTCACCATTTGAATACCTTCTTTGGAGAAATGTCTATTCTAGTCTTTGCTCCATTTTTTAACTGGGCATTTTGTTATTTGGTTGCTGAATTATAGGAGTTCTTTATAATGCTAGTTATTAATCCATTGTGAGAAATATGCTTTGCATCATTGAGTTAACTTTCTCCTATTCTGTGAGTTATTTTGTCACTTTTGATATTGTCCTCTGCTGTACAAAAGCTTTTAATTTTGGTGAAGACCAATTCATATATTTTTTATTTTCTTATGTGTGCTTTTGGGGTCATGCCCTAGAAATCACTGCTAAATTCAATATCATGAGTTTTGCCTATAGTTCTTCCTCAGATGTTTATGGTTTTAGCTCCTATACTTAAGTCCTTTCAACCAATCTGAGTTCATTTCTCTATGTAGAGCAAAGTAAGGGTTCAATTTTATTCCTCACATTTAGATATCTTGTTTTCCCAGCATTTAGTGTTGTTCTTTATGAAAAAGCTGTTCTTACTCCATTGAATAATCTTAGCACTGTTGTTGAAAACTATTGGACTTTATATGTGAAGATTTATTGCTGGGGCCTCTATGCTATTCCATTGCTCTATATTTGTATCTTATTC